AAGTTTTATTGCTGTAAATGAAGAATATTTTCTTGAAATAAACACTGCACTGTGCTATATATTATCAATATGTAAAATATGCAAGTAAATCACTGTAGGTGCGCGTGATCTAGGTATATGCTGATAACCACAAGGAAAGAAGAAAACACGAAGTTCCCAAGTGCTTTCGTGTAATTCACATCTTCAGGGGTGAGTACAGACTAGAGAGAGAAATACAAACCAAGGTGTATATATACAGAGGAGGGTGAGACCAGGTCCACAATGGTCAGGTATTAGGTAATGACCCTACTAATCTTTAAATAGCACACAACGGTTGGTGGTCAGGTCAGATGGTCAGGTGACCCGGCCTTCTCACCTGGTTACAAATCTTCTTAATTACAAAATTGTCCAGTTTGTACATGCCGTTACTCAAATTCATTCTTTGAAAAGAAACTATTAAGTAATATTTTACCACCTTCAGCAGTCTGGTTTAGATATGTTGATGATGTATTATGTCTCTGGCCATGTAATGAGGACCTAAAAGCTTTCCTGCCACAAATTAACAACTTAGCCCCCTCGATCAAATTCACTGTGGAATTAGAGCAAGACTGTAAATTGCCATTCCTAGACTGTCTGATACACAGAATAGGTAACACTTTTAAGTTCAGTATTTATAGAAAACCAACTAATGTGTGTTCATACATACATTATTATTCTGCCCACCATAATAAAGTCAAACAGTCAGTATTTTCAGCAATGTTTTTACGTGCCTTGAGAATTTGCAGTCCGGAATTCATTGATGAGGAATACAAATATATATATAATATTGGCTCAAACCTTAAATACCCTAGATCTTTCATAGACAAATGCCTAAAACTTGTTCTTCAAAGTTTATAGAGAACTGATCCCCATTACCCATAGAATACAGAATATCTTAATAATACCATTTCTAAAATTTCTCATTTTCCTTCCACAACTAAAACCTGGAGGCATCCCAATGTAATTTAAAACTCATGCACTGTTAAACAAATGTTAATCAAGAACTCTAATAACACAATTGGTTGCATTTATAAGTTTCTTGCAAAGATGTAATATATTTTATAGGCCAGACAGGTAAGTCTTTTAACTGGGTCTAGCTCTTCTAAAGCAGTGTTAGGACGAATGAGAATCCAATCTCTCTTTGTTCAAATTTAGGATATAAGCATTATTTAAGGATAATGCCTCTCAATATTACATGTAATTCAATTGATGTGGAACATCATAGAATCTGGTCTTATTGACTTGCATTCAGCACTTTAGGTTGGAGTAACGGCATGTACAAGCTGGACAATTTTGTATTGAAGATTTTGCAACCAGGTGGCCGGGTCACCTGACCATCTGACCTGACCACCAACCGTTGTGTGCTATTTAAAGATTAGTAGGGTCATTACCTAATACCTGACCATTGTGGACCTGGTCTCACCCTCCTCTGTATATATACACCTTGGTTTGTATTTCTCTCTCTAGTCTGTACTCACCCCTGAAGATGTGAATTACACGAAAGCGCTTGGGAACTTCGTGTTTTCTTCTTTCCTTGTGGTTATCAGCATGAAAAATATATTTTAAAAAAACAATAATTTGACTGGAAAAACAGAAAAAAAGACTTTATGTTGAAGAGTCTCAAACAAGATGTTCCTTCCACTCAACAGATATACAAACTGACGCCAAGCTTGGTGTGTTGAGTGTTGATGAATAGAGAAACCATATTTGTAAAACACGAACGCGTTTGCTCTAACCCGATTACACTCGAACAGTTGTTGTGGCTTGGCGCAGTCTTATGCAGGGTTTACAGTTCACGTTCGACATCACATTTTCAATTGATTTATGAGTTTTGTTTGTGAAGAATTGCAGAAATAATTTATGTAATATTTATGTATACAGTATACCTGTACAGTATATGTAAATTGTAAAATTTTAAATAAGAGAGAAAAACAAAATACTTAGCATTTTAGACCCGCACGCTCTGTTTACACCACACGATCAGTTTGAAACACGTGGGAAGTTTTTAAGCATCCTCAGTGATTTTTTATTACTGTTTCTCCAATTTTGTGACTATGGAAAATAAGATTATCTCCGGGAAGCGTTCTGGTGATTGCATTTCCGGTGGTGATCGTAAAAGAAAGGCTATAACACTTGAAGAAAAGCTTTATGTTGTCAAGCGTTTTGAAAATAAGGAAAGAACATGTGATATTGTGCGTCCAACGGGAATAAAGGAGTCTACTTTACGCACCATTAGAGACAATGCAGCAAAGATTAAAGCAAGCTGTATTGCTGGAAAAACCTTGAGTGCTAGCAAAAGTGTGAGATCACGGCCAAAGGAACTTGAGGAGATGGAATGGCTTCTAAGTGTTTAGATAGAAGATCAAACGAAAAAGCGATCTGGGACCAGCTTCCTCACCATTAAAGAGAAAGCCTTATCAATATATGAGGACTTAAAGAAAAAAGCTGAAAATCCTGATGATGTGATTGCCTTTTGTGCTAGTAGTGGATGGTTTTCTGGTTTTAAGAACCGCTATGCATTTCATAATGTAAAGTTATGTGGTGAAGCAGCAAGTGCCGACGAAGCAAGTGCCCGGGCATTTCCTCCCACTGTAAAGAAATTGATTCAGGAAGAAGGCTACACCTTAGACCAAATTTTTAATTTGTCTTCTATCCTGAGGAAATTGATAAGCAGTTGAAGCTCTTGGAAGACAATGATTACAATGCAGAAAGGAGCAGGATTGCAGTTCGTGGTGTTAAATCTTTTTTGGCACCTTATGAACAGCTTCTTTGTGAAAGAAGAAAGACGGCAAAGCAGCAAACATTAGACGTCTTTTTTAAGTCAACCCCCAAGAAGCAGACTGAAGACACTGAACCACAGCCATCCACTTCTGGAATTAGACGTTTTTTTCTTCCCTCCCATGCAACCAAAACTGCACCTGATGATGATGATACTGATGATGACGATGACAATTGTCAAATCCTGTCTGCATGACTCCTCAACCTCAACATTAACCTTCTCCCCCATCAAGTTAAATTCATATTTTTTCAAGGTAAAGTGTAACATTTACTGTATGATTTCATTATTAGATATGAATGTAACATTTATTTAGACTGTGCTATCCTTTGTGTTAGGCTAACTACGAAATTTTTTTTCGATTTGGAGTAATCTGCACCTAACCCTATTTTCTCCAAAAGCCCTGTTATTTCTATTAGCTTAATTTCTAGAATCTAAAGGTTTACAAAGAACAGTCAAACTATTGCTATAGCAGAACTGACTGTACTTCAATTATGTTCAATAATTGTTAAAATGACTAAAAAATTTAATATAAAACTTTTAAAATTATTGAATAGTACAACCTTCTTGATATTTACTAGAATAGTAATGAATTTAAGCCCTGAAGACGTTACTGTTAGAACAATACTACAGGTGGTGAGCAGCGAAAACGAAAACATGTTGGGGAAAATTGTAAGAATTCATTAACAGAAATTTTTCGTTAACTAAGTGAAGAATCTTATGGAAGGTTATTCGTTAACAAATTTCATTAACCGGGGATCACAATATATATATATATATATATATATATATATATATATATATATATATATATATATATATATATATATATATATATATATATATATATATATATATATATATTGATCTAGTATGTAGTCTAATGTGCTTATCCTTTCGATATTGGTCACATATCTATAGCTCGTATCTTGAGGAAGTACTGTTTACATGTTTAGAAGTGCATCTGTTATCAAAGTCTTTCTACAATACTGTATTGATGTCATAAAATGTAAGTTGATCTGAAGGAGAGATTAATTATATGAGGATATAGCTGACAAAAAAGTTTATGATAGCCAGAAAGAGATGGGTAGACCAATTGTCACCTGGGAGAATAGTTAGAGAGTTTGTTGAAGAGGCGGGAAGGCGAGGAAGAGTGCTTGAGAGAGCAAAGTGGTGTGCAGGGATAAAATGGCCTGGAGACACTTCTGCCATAGCCACCCCTGTTGGGGAGTTCCCGGAAGAACAAGGCGATATTGATTGATCAAAACAAAGTTGCGGAGCAGCTCCAGTGAGCTCAGACAGCACACCCCAGTTCATACCTAGAACTTGCGGATGCCTCCTCAGCATCTCTCAGCTTAAGGTTGAAGAAGCCACAGCTTAGAAAATTGTCAGGGCACTTTTTGGAGTATGAGTTGTGAACTCTTGGAACAATCTGCCTGAGAGTGTTGTGACAGCACCAAGTAGAGCCTTCATTCAAGACCAGATTTGACCAACACTGGCACAGATACAGATACTTACAAGAGAGTATAACAGAAACATGAATGATAACCCAAGCAGCAAATATACTGACAAGTGGCAAGAGGATAAAGTAAAATAATAGTACAGTATATGAAGTGGGAGCATGACTTGAATGTTTATGAAACTGATCTGTCAGCAAAGAATCTACTCTGAGCCGGGATATGGTTTGGAATGGAGCTTATTACTAGTCACTAGATTTCCAAGTTGGTTGATGATGGACAAAGGAGAGCTGTAATGCAAGCGGCACAAAGATTCATTTTGAATGATGACTTCCCTCCTAAACCCCTCAGATGGACAGGGTTGCAATAAGAGTGTTCTACTAAATGTCTGATGAGTGTCAACTCAAATAAGAATTTACAGGAATTAATTCTATGGTTCTTCCTTCTCTTGTGGGATGGATCATTGAAACAAACCCAAAGATGAAAATATTAAAGAGAGAGCAGTGCAAGGCAAGTAAAGACAGTGACAAGAAATGATTAAAACAATCGGTAAAAATATCCACACCTACTTGGTCATATTCTGAACTTACATACCCAGTAATACAAAGTGAAAATTTAGCATCCACAGTGATTCACAATGCTTTGTAACAATTCAATGTGTGTACTAAATTGTAAGGTCCATCAAAATTAATAACCGCCTGATAAGCTAAATCACTAACTCTCCAACAAATAATTAAACTTATTTTGGCATCCTCTGTAGTGGAATGGAGAGGTCCCAAAATTCATCTTTGAGCTAGACCAACAGCCATTCTTGCCTTATTTACCATAAAATCAACGATCTCATAGTCATTGCTTTGCTTCAGCAAATCATGCTTGATCTGAGGAGAGTTAAGAATACAAGCATTCGTAGAAGTAAAATTTAAGCAATACAGACAGAAAAAAGAAAAAGAATCATAAATAAATTAAAAGTAAAACATTGAGTGATATATATATATATACAGTATATATATATATATATATATATATATATATATATATATATATATATATATATATATATATATATATATATATATATATATATATATATATATATATATATATATATATATATATATATATATATATATATATATATATATATATATATATATATATATATATATATATATATATATATATATATTTTTTATATATATATATATATATATATTATATATATATATATATATTATATATATATATATATATATATATATATATATATATATATATATATATATATATATATATATATATATATATATATATATATATATATATATATATATATATATATATATATATATATATACATATACATATACATATACATATACATATACATATACATATACATATACATATACATATACATATACACTTCACTTTAACAAGTTTCACAATACTGTAATGAAATGCGACATCTCAACACATTAACAATACATTTTGATAGAACAGCCGCTGATACGAACGAGGTTAAACTTTAAATTTACAGTACGTACCTGTATTTTATTTACCTGATGACTTATTTTTTACTTTCATTAACTGAATTTTGTCATTCTATTACTTCTTTTCTCTTAAATTAAGTGATTTCAGATGTATATAAGGTCTTAGGCTATGATACAGTGAGATTTTTAAAATTGTTCTGTAAGTACAGTATGCGCATAGCATGTGTTTCGACTTGTGTACATTCTCAACTTAAGAACGTCCCCAGGAACGGAACTCGTTCGTAACCCCGGGGCTGCCTGTATAGATATAGTACAGCACTGTGAAGACTGCTGCTAGGTGACTGCTGCAAAGAGTTATGAATCTTTTATTTGCTATCCTTACTTTATGGTGTAAAACACAGTTCAACATAATTCATGCAATTTTAATGCAGCAGCAAAAGTGGATTGGTGGCATAACAACCATAAACAATATCCTACTGGTATGGTAAGTCCTCGCTTAACGTCGTCCCGCCCAACGTTTCGGTACTACGTCGCTGAACTTTAGAGACCAAAAATTCGTTTAACGTCCCGGTGATCCAATATTATGTCGTTTTGCTTCGTCACAGACTACTTTCGAAGGCGTATCACCCTCTCTTGTCTGGCCTCGCTATGCTCTCTCGGCTCGGCACACTGCCCTCACTCGTGGAACGTCACAGCGTCCCCAAGCGACGCCAACCCAGTCTCTGTTACGACTTCACATCATTCATGTGTGCTTAAGTTTTTTTGCTCTAAAACTGTACTCTAACCATTCGAAATGGCTTCGAAACGCCCATCAAGTGCTACTGATGCTAGTGTAGTGAAGAGGCAACGTAAGACCATTACCCTTGCTACGAAAATTGATGTATTAACCTGATTTGAAAAAGTGGAACGTGCTGTGGACATAGCCGCTGTGCTTGGTCTAACCCTCACAGCGGTGCGTACTATCCGGACCAACGCTGGAAGTGGTCCTTCTCTGAGTGTAACTAAGGCAACTCGTACTAGAAGCACTGTGATAGAGAAGGTGGAATAGATGCTGGCAATGTGGATGGAGGACCAGAATCAATACAATGCCCCTGTGAGCCTTATGGTTTTCCAGCATAAGGCCAGATCTTTGTTTGACAACATAAAGGCAGAAGAGGGTGAAGGATCGAAGGAAGAGTTCTTTACGGCCAGCTGAGGATGGTTTCAACGATTTAAGCGTTGTTATAACTTCCACAATATTAAGATGACTGGTGAAGCTGCCAGTTCAGATACAGCTGCTGCCGAGACATTCCCGCCAGATTTCAAACGGATTATCCAGCAAGGAGGCTACTCAGTGAAGCAAGTCTTCAATGTGGATGAGACTGGTCTTTTTTGGAAGAGGATGCTTGACAGGACCCATCTCTCCAAGGAGGAGAAAAGAGCGCCAGGTTATAAAGCGGGAAAAGACCGCTTGATGCTGCTGTTTGGCGCGAACGCTGCCGGTGACTTCAAGCTGAAGCCTATACTGATTTCTCGCCCTGTTAATCCACGGGCCCTAAAAGGTTACTCTAAGGATCACCTTCCTGTGATCTACAAGGCAAATAAGAAGGCATGGATAACCGGCGCCATATTTAGCCAGTGGTTAAACGTGTACGCCGTCCCTGCAATGAAGGAATACTTTGCCAAGGAGAACTTAAAGGAGAACTTAAAATTCTTCTGATCCTTGACAATGCTCCAGCTCATCCTCCCAATCTCGACGACTTGCATGACAGTGTAAAAGTTGTCTTCCTGCCTCCCAAAACAACAGCACTGATGCAGCCTGATGCGTGGCCCAAGTGAGTCAACAGTTTTAAGGGATTCACGGACTTAGTCCCAGCTGTGAATAGGGATACCCTCAGCTTGGCTAGACAGGCAGGCTTTGATGAGCTGGAATCAGAGGATATTGAGGACATCTTGACATCCCATACAGAAGAGCTCACCAACGAAGATCTGCAACAATTAACAGAACACAGTCCCGTTGAAGACGACGACGAAGAAGAACCTCAACGAATGCTAACTTCAAAGAGGTTGACAGAATCATTGAACATGTTCCAGCAAGCAATGCAAATGCTTCTAGACGATGACCCAAACACAGAACGTAGCTCAAAGGTTCCACGCAGCATTGAGGACAGTCTTGGTTGTTACATTGAGATGTATAAGGAGAAGAAGAAGAGTAGCACCAAGCAGTCAACACTGGTTCCATTTTTTCGTCGCAGGATGGCAGAAGGAGCTTCTTCACAACAGCCGGCAGCCGAGGAGGAGCAAACAACAGCGGAGGAGGTGCAAGCAGCAGCGGAGGAACCCCAGTCAGAGCAGAGGAGGAGGAGGAGGCGGCAGCAGCCACAGAGTCTCAGTGACTCACCCTCCTCCTCCTCTCCCGCCCTCCTCCGCTCCCACCCTCCTCCTCCGCTCCCACCCTCCTCCTCCGCTCCCACCCTCCTCCTCCTTCGCTCCACTACCCACCACACACTCGCTCTACCACCTACGGCCATCGGTGAGTACCAATACAAACTTAGTACTGTAGTTCTATATACTATTTTCTATAGAAATGGCAATAATTTTCTGTATATTTAACTTTTTTCATGGGGCAAAGGGAGGCTCAGGAACATAACTCCCGTATTTTATCTATTTCTTATGGGGAAAATTGATCCGCTTAACGTTGTTTCGCATAACATCGCATATTCAGGAACATAACCCCGAGGTTAAGCGAGGACGCCCTGTAACTATTTTCTGTGTTTATAAAAGTGAACATTTTTGAGGACCATTTACAAGGGCAGATTGGTAGTCACATCAGGAGACAGGGCTGTATATCCATGATGGGGATGTGAGAGAAGGAGTGGTACTGGGCATGTGAGAAGGAGTACTAGTTACTGGGGATGTGAAAGAGTGCTACTGGGAATGTGAGAGGAGTGCTAGTCATTGGAGATGTGAGAGAAGGAGTGCTAGTTACTGGGGATGTGAAATAAGGAGTGCTACTGGGAATGTGAGAGAAAGAGTGCTTGTTACTGGGGATGGGAAGGAGTGAGTACTGTTGGGGATGTGAAGGAGGGAGTGCTCCTGGAAATGTGAAGGATTAGGTAATATTGGTAATGTAAAGAAGCAGTGTTGCTGGGGACAGTTTAAAGGGTTTCTGCAAGGTCTGTGGTACAAAACTTTGCAAAGGACATGAGGAGATTTAAGCATTTGAATAATTTGTAAAAGATACCGTATAACCTAAAAAATAGACTTTTATAAATATCACTGATAATTACTGTACTTAAAGTATTTTCATACCTCTTGAAAGCCTCTGATGACAAGAGTAAGGAGGAGGTTGACCATGATGATGGTGCTAAGAAAGGCAAAGATGAAAAAAGCGACTGGTCCAATGCCTGGAGATGACTGTTCCACTCCACGATAATCAAATTTACCTGAAAATACAGTACATTAATGTCATATACTCATATATATTGACTTGTCATCACAGTAACATAAAGAACATTGATTAATATACTATCACTTAAATTATGTACAGTACAGTACATATATCGTCAAACATGAGTTTAAGAGTCTAACTGTCACTGTTCACTAAATTTTGTGTCAATATCTAGTGCATTCTTCACTCCAAATAAGTTTTTGCCATCTTAGCAAATCATAATCTGCTCACTGCCCAAGAATCATTTCAATTCCACATGTGCTCCTTGTATCTATATCTAAGCCTTCACACACAATCCACCCCAAACTTATCCTGAAGCAAATTATTTCTGGCATCTCCAATTGATCTCTCTTGCAACCTCCAACCAATTTTACAACCATATAATAAAGTCTGCTCAACATTTCACTGTAAATCCCATCTTTGTCCTGCTCTGACACAGTTCTCTCTGTACGTACATGTTACGCTGTAGTGTACTTATTCAATGTTTCCCCACTTTCATTCTATGGCTCAATATGTAACCCATTGCTCTATTGATTCTGTTGATACATGCATTTCGAGATGACTTAAACACTTCCCTTCCTCCATAATACCTCCAATTATACCATAATATCATTAATTGCTTTTAGTTTCGTTTCTCTACATATTTTAGTTACTGTACTTTTCTTCACACTCAAGGGTAGCTTTCTCTTAGCAAAAATTCTTCTAAACTCATCCCATAACATTTGTAGTCTCCTAGTAAGTTCTACCTGACCATCGAGTAAGCTCTACCTGACCACCTAGTAAGCTCTACCTGACCATCTAGTAAGCTCTACCTGACCACCTAGTAAGCTCTACCTGACCATCTAGTAAGCTCTACCTGACCACCTAGTAAGCTCTACCTGACCATCTAGTAAGCTCTACCTGACCACCTAGTAAGCTCTACCTGACCATCTAGTAAGCTCTGGCTAACCACCAAATAAGCAGTGTTGTACGCGTCAACGAAAAAAAGTGGCGCAACCAGCATCAGCGTAAATGGCCGAGAAATTTGATGCCGTCAGCGTCGGTGTATACGATTTCATAAGTTGACGCCATTAGCATCAGCGTCAACAAGATTTCAGTGACGTACAAATGCAGCCCCGAAACGCGTATTCTCCTGTGTATGGGAGTAACATATGCAAAATCAAAAAATATTAATTCATATTTAATCATTTATTATGATTTATATTATATCATTTTAATTATTCACTTGTTCCCCCGCAAGAATACTAGCATCTCAAAATGCTTGTCGCTCATTCTGCTGCGCTTGGGCCTCAAGACGTCCTTGCCCAAAGAGAACATGCGCTCCACGGCACACTGGGGATGGAGTGTTGTATTTAATGAACAACTCCCTCATGGCCTTGTTGGGGAAGGTGTCCTTGTTGAAGGTTTCTCCCCCAGGAAACACTTGAAAAAGGTCACTGTCTTTTTCATTCCTGCAGGGGGGGGGGGTCTCGTATAGGGCCTGGAACAATTCGTTCTCCACGTGATGGTCTTTGTCGTCTTCCTCACTGCTGCTGCTGCTCTCAGTCTCGTGCACGGACTTCTCCACCAACCTGGACAGTTGGTTGGTGGCCTTTTTCCTAATGAACAAATTCAAATCTGTAGAAAGCTGCGCAGGTGTGTGGGCGGGGCAAATTTTTTCCTGGTCGTCTTTATAACAAGATAATTGAAAATTGAACAAATTGACGCTCCGCTCGGGTGAAAAGTTGACTGCGTCACCTGTAGCGTCACCTGCCCAAAAAATTGATGGTGTCAGCGTTAACAAAAAGTTGCCGCCGTTCATTGACAGCATTAAATTAACCGCGTCAACTTACAATACTGCAAGTAAGTTATGGTTGACCACCTAGTAAGCTTTACCTGACCCTCTAGTAAGCTCTGCTTGACCACCTAGTAAGCTCTACCGGACCACCTAGTAAGCTCGACAAAAAGAGGAAAAAATTTCCCTTTCTCTGGCATACCCCAATATACATGTTTCACTCTCCCTTTAATAACTGGGAAAAGTATTTAACATTTTCCCATTTACCCTAAAATTTTCAGTATCAACCACACTGCCTTACAGTCACCTGTCATCACAAGTACTTTTCCAATCCATAAATGCCAAAATACATTTTCCTTCTCCAAAAAATACCATTAATTTTCTTAAATGGAAATCCTTATTCACAAGATCCTCTTCTTTCCAAGTGAGAACACTACTCTACCTCATACAATCTGTTTTTATGAATATTCAACGTTATTCCACTATAATTGACTAGGCAATGGTTACATCTGTGCCAACGATACCTAGTATATGCAGTTTCACAGTCTTTCATTCCTTTGACCAGTCCGCAAACCCACCATGACAAGGGTTAGTCTTTGCAAATCGATAAATTGCTTTCAAACCTACTTCAAGTGTACTGCGTGCATTAGTACTGGTCCCTGTAATCTCTTCTGATTCATATTACATGCATAACAGCCAAACTCACCAGCTGAGGAGTATCACAGAAAATTAAACATTGGAAAGGGTAATTTGCATGCATTAATTCTTTTATATGAATTATACCAGTGTCCGTGCTATAATCTTAACTATGTATACAGATAGTATTGAGGAGACACAAGGTATGTATATGATTTCTCAACCCAGCTGATATGGACTTGTGTACTATAGTGAATAAGTGTGACCATGTCTGAAGGTCATAGTATTTACCTGTACGATTAGTAAACAGAGCTACCTCAGATATCAGATGAAAATATGTGAGAACAATGATCCGGAAAGGATAAATGTATCAGACATATGTAAGTGTTGGGGTTGACCCATAAACTATACTCTAAGGAAAACATCTTGTACCTTGGTGTGAGCTTAATACACACAGAACCCCATGTGACGAATAGCCACGAACGTGCAATGATTCAAGAATCTTAGCAAACTGTTAAACAATTGCAAAGTGTGGGGAAAGGAACCATACATTGGGAATAAAGTAAAGTGGATATACCCAAGCCAAGAAACCAAGGCCTTTGTTTGATCTACTTAAATCGCTTTACTACAGGTTCAAGGTACAGTAATGACATATGCAAAATTTACCCAAACCAGACACTTATTGTAGCAGGTAATTTAGAATTACGTATGTAACTATAAGGCATAAATTCACAATATGTGAAAGTGTATGTGTGGAGGCCAGAATAAAGATATGGTGATTTGTAAGCAATGACACCTGTAGGCCTACTCAGTGGGAGATGCAGAGGCTTGCCCTCAGTCCTCCTGGAATCTTATATGAACAGGTGTGCAGCGCCCGTGTGTGTGAGGTGTGCGGTGAGGACCATGGATAGAGACAAGTAGGAATGCTTGGCCCAGCAACCACTGTTCTCCTTTGAGGAACCCTGGTGTTGTGGGTAATGCGGATCGTTATGCAACCTCCATAAGGATCTCTGAATATTTCACGCTTTCATCACCCTGGATGTGAGATATGTTGGACTACTTGAGGTGTTTATTGTCGCTACTTTTAGCGACCTAATGATGCCAGATACAGAACTAGTCCTGGTATGAATGTCTGTGAAGGATCTCATCTACCTAACAAGAGTAGAGAGTAAGACAGGTACCTGCTGGGTATACCTTGGTGCTAAGAATGATCTACAGTACCTTTATGTATTGTGTATTATTGAATGTTCCTTATTCAGATGCTTTAAGTATTTTGGTGATATTAGGGAAGGTGACCTCAGTAAGGGGTCAATTATTTTGATATGGTCAGGTACTTTTGTGTGGTGCAATGACCTTAATAATTGCTTGGGGAAGGTCAACTATTTTTGTATTGTGACTGAATGCAATATTTTTAATATGTCTAAAATAAATTAGTTAGGATACTGGTTGGTTCACCCTTCCTTCCACCCTCAACTTGATTAATGAAAAGACGAACTTATAGTGCTAGATTGCTTTGCCAGCTACCTAAGGATCATACACATACTGTCCTGCAGTCTGGTGGCTGCAACCTTAAGTTAGAAATAAGTTAAGTAAAACCTAATATTAAGTGACCAAAATAAGGGCAGTATACATGGAGGTGGCTGCTGACATGCTGGCAGCCATATCCATGGATGGGAGCTCCTCCATGACAACTGATATATTACTCTGGTTAAACAGGTCCAATCAGCCTTGTCCAAGCACCACTTGGATGCATGTGAACAAAATGAACCTCAAGCTGAGCAATGAATGACCAAGAAGTGATCACTACCATGAAGGTCATTAATTGCTTCCCACTCATGGTCTAATATGGTGTTTAAAAAGCCTAAAGACAAATACATTGCTGATAGTGAGTCAGTCTACATGAGGAAGTGGGGTGCGTCACCAGTACAGGTTGTACCTCTCTAGTCGGCATTCTGTGGTCCGGAAACTCCGTGTGAGCGATTATAGTTTGCCGTGGAAAAATTATTTTGAGTCAGGTACTTTCGATGTTTGGCTAAATTTTGCTTTATTTACCCTGCTTTTGGGCGAATTACTACCTGTAATAAAGCAACATCCTAATAAACCAACGAAAATAACACAGAAAAGTTAAATAAAACTAAAAAAACACAGAAAAAGTTCTTATGTTCTACAACTTCAGCTAGAGTTGAACCTGATGACTTGGAACCCGTCATCCTAGTAAAACACACAACATTGGCTGTCCTTATGTTTTCAACTTTACCAACACTGGTGGGTAGAATTTTTTATTTTAAATTCAGAAACATTAATTAAAAATATATGAACAGTAAATAAGTGTTGCTTTCATATTCTTATGTAGAGTAATGACGATGTTTTCACATGTGCTCCTTATATACTCAGTCTCACTTTTATTGTTCCACTTATTAACATTAAACAACATTACACAACATATTTTTTACATTAATTTTTACTACAACTACAACCAGGTCTTATATTCTTCAGTTTTATATGTAGAACCAGTCAGTCACTGGTTTTGTAAGAATAGCGAAAAAATGCCGTCTCGTCTTCCTGCGTTTGGATTAATATTCTAAGTATTATTAATGAATTGTATTGTTCATTTTGCACACATAAACATTAATTCACTCAAAAGTCATTCAGTAACAAACAATAATAAATCATTTGTACATTAGAGAATGACGCTGTTTACACGATTGTGCGACTGAATGTTGGCGGGCCGCTCAAACCATTGAAATTCGAGGTTCCGCCATCAAAATTTTAAATTGTGTAGTGCTTTTTTGTGTCCAAATAAAAACGGTTGAATTAAAACTCGCAAAATTTGAGATCTACTGTAATACATTTAACCCTTCAATATGTCTTCAAAGAGATCCGAAGCAGTGAAAGTGGTGCTGGTGCTCAAGCATAAGCACAAGTCACTATCTATCCAGGAAAATGAATTTCCATGGTCGGAAATTTCCATGGTCGGCACTGGTCAGGTCCGAGGTTGCGAATAGAGGGTAACCTGTACTGTATTAAACTTCCAAGTCTTCTGCTTCCATCCAGTAACAAAAGTTCACCTTGGGTTGAAGAGTGTCCCATCACAGAGGATGTCGACTATTGAAGACATCCATTTTAAGATAAGAAATTGGTGAATAAGTCCATCCAGATCACCATGTACAGGATGATTCAGTGGAAAATACATCAGAAAATCATGAATCTCTCTCTAGGTGGAACTGGACAGAAACAACCTGTAGAGACCAAATTTGAAATTCTGTAAAGGGAACTCCAAGACGAATGTACACTGTACATCAGCCACTGTGGCCCCCAAGGACTCAGCAGGAAGTACAGGTTGAGTAACCCTTGGGGAATACAGCCTCCCTCATCATTGTCTCCTGTAGGCAAATACACACTGGGGAGAATGGGCAAGAGAAGCTGCAGTTCCTCCCAGTTAGACCTCAGGCTAGCAGTTCTGGTGTAGGAGAACTCTGAATATTATTATTTCATGGACAGTTCAGAGTGACCCCATGGTAGAGGGCATTCAGGTTTTTTACCTACTTGAGGAGACTGCCTCTCTACAGGCAGAGCCTCTTGTGATCCTTCTGATGGAATCGATCTCTGAGAGGGAGTTTGAGCCATGGTCAAGGCCACAGTTGGATTTCCTCAGATTTTGACTTTGGCTGTAGCCTCTTTAGAGCCACAGTATCTGTGGTGTAATGGGGGTATCAATGATGTAGGTTTCTTCAAGAGTTCAATGCCAACCCCTATTGTTTCTGATGCTGATCCAGAATCCATTGAAGCAGTATTACCAGTCGGAACACACAGGTTCACTATATCAGATGCACCATCCTCAGACAGTGCAGGGAAGGTCTTCGGTGGTGTAAAACTGAGCCTTGATGGGGGTTCCCATCAAGGGAATCTAACCGCAACTAGCTTTCTTGTTTGTGTAGCTAGTAGGGTAGTCCGAGATGGTGGTATGGTTATGGGTCTGTTGGAATGATGATAGCGATGAGGATGAGGTCTTTTGTTGGAGTTTAGAAGATCACATGGGGCAATGAGCTAGGATGGTTGTATAAGAATCACCTGAGTGAGCAGAGTGTAGAAAGACAATCTGATTTGCTTCAGCAAGTTGACTCTTCTCGCCCTGAAGGCAAGAACCTCCTCCTTTGATTTGTATTTTTCTCACTGCTTCAAAGACACAACAAGATTTCCCTGGTAGTGGTAGCAGCAGTGGCTCATGGCAGGCACTACCTTCATGTAACTGCAAACCCAAAGACATACATGTGCCAAGCAATTTTTTCTCTTGTTCCAGTAGTTTCAGGTGATGCATCCATACCATTGGCAAGAATAACATCACCTTGCGTTCTTCATATAATGTTTCACCAGGTATCTGAACCAGGCAAACCATACCTTTCGAAGACAAAGATGATCAAATGTCAAAAGAAGGCAGATGTAGGAATGAGTACTCCATCCACCCTCTTCTTCACCCTCTCAACTTTGGTCATGTGCTGGTTTTCAAAGTTTCTCATATATCTACTGCTGTCGATGTTCAAAGTTGGGGTGTGAACCACACCATGACATTGGATGAATATCTCATGTTGAGTGCAAGAGACAGGTGACTCAAGACAGGCTTCATAATTTTGACTCTTTCTGTCTCTTGCATAAATACCTCCAAGACTCCCATCAGTTTGCTTTTGCATCTTTGGTTTGCCCTCATAGGCAGCCTCTATAGTGTCATAAACCTTGAACATGTCCAAGTCCATAAACAACTTCCCAAACCTTCTGGGTAGAGCACAATACATTTATCAAAGAAGTGTTCATACACCCTCGGCATTACTTCAAATTTTCCACAGACCCTTTCCTGGCAGTACCCCTAGTGGGCTCCTGTTTTGTTGGGAGTAAGCTTGTCCTTCCAGAGGAGTTTGATGAGCCTGGTTGGTCGGAAAAAGAAGTCTCATTTTTAAAGTTTTACCCATATACTAGTGATTTAAATAATACAGGGGCCCAGGGGACATGTACCTCCACCTACCAGGAGATGAACACGGCTGGCGCAAGTCACCAAGAATGGGTACATTGTCCCTGGGTAGCCCATTGAAGGTTGATCTGCATAATTTGAGAGTGTGTTTGATGGTGCACAACCCTAGCGACACCCAACCATCCAACTCAAGGTTGCCTTAAGAAGCGACCCCTCTGGTGGGTGGGGTTAATGACCCATACTGAGGTCCAGGACCATGTGGTAACTGTGTTTGGAGCAATTGCTTGCTGGGTCCCGAATCTTTTGCCCCCATTTGAGAAGAAAGAAGAAAAATGTCCCACCATACATGCTACTCTGGCCTTTAACCAGTAGAATTAATAATTACTTATATTATTGTCATCAAGAAAAGTTATCTCAAAGTAGCTTGGAAGAACACTGAGTTGGATAAACTTTCAGTAAAAATCCATTGAAAGCATTTCACTTATCAGTTGAAGTTAAAACCTCACAAATTGGGAGAAAATTAAGACAGTTTAATAGTCCTGTGAAGTTCAATCCTGTCACAAATAAATGAGACTTACCAAGCATGGCAGAAAATGGCTTCAACTGAAGTCATGAAGGTCTTGTAGTCATAATGATTGGAATTATAGTAGGTAAAACAGCTGCCCAAATGCCAGGAATGTCTGTAAGGAAAAGTAAAGTAAATAAGGCATTCCATAAATCTATATTATTTAAAAAATTAATAAAACAATTGTACAGTACAGTATAATGTTTTTGTGTTCAAGATTGGCTGGCCCTGAGGCCAACTAGACATTATCTTGCTTAAGGTGCAGAAGCTGTCAGCAATGCAACCACCACACCCTAAATTAAGTAACTGTATGATCCAGTCTCAGGAATAATCCAATTACCGAAAATGATCAGCAAATCGGTTATCACCCAGGTTCCCAATTACTGTTAGATTGACTTAACAAGGATAATGGCAATGTGCAGTACCTTATCCTGTTCCTGTCCCCAAAACCTGTTGTGTTCTTGTTTTCTTACAAGAAAGAGGAAAGGGAAAAAAATAAATAAAATAAAAACAGAAGAAACTTGTGATGTTTGATAGGGTCATACTGGATAACAACCTTCACACACTTATCCCAGGCCAGGATTAGAATCCAAGACACAAGAGTGAGAGATATGTGTGTTACTGCTGTCCCACCAAATATTTTGAAGAAAAGGTGCCTAGATGGAAGGCTTTCATGCACAATATGATCAGAATTACAGAAAAAAAAAATTGGGGATTGCCTGTAGTTGAATCTTGAATTTTCACTTTGTCAAAATGTCATCGTCTTACAACTGTTTACATCAAATTACATCAGCCACTTTCAACTTTACTCTTCTAATGTATTTGTAAAGCCTTTATGTTTGCCTGAGCAAATGATTCTATAAACTTTGGTACTGTCAGCAAATAAACTAGCCTCTGACTGCTAGTTGATCAGAGAGTTAGCAAAACTCAAGACATATTTGTGGCAAAACAGCTAAAATATTATTCACCAGTATATAATCTTTCTAAAAGTTTGCAGTAAATCACGAGAGAAACAAAAACCATACAAATAGCTTTTCTTTTGGGTAGCCAACCAGTTCATAGTGTCCATGTCAAGATTCAGTATATATTACTGTGATCCAATGATTAACATGCCACCTTACTTGCTGGAGAATGTCTAGTAAGCTAGCAAAAAAAAGTCGTATATACTGTAGCTAGTTTTAGGTTTGCAGTGCTGTCTGCTATTATAACAGCACCCACAAAGGTGAACACTAATCCTAACAGCAATCAACTTTTAGTAGCAGTTAAAGAATGTTGTCAATACCTGTACAAGGAAATAACTCTAATGAAGAAGAGTCAAACCTAACATAGCAGTCCATGATCATAACACCTCACAGCTTGACCCAGTGACCTGGTGGTTACAGTGGTGAGTCTAACCTGGCTACAAAGCCGCCAGCAATGGTAACAGATGCAAATGTGAAAGTTATCTGTAAATCTTCATTTGTATCAGGTATTTGTTGATTGAAAATAAATGTTGCAGATATGACATTAATAGATAGTAATGCTTGTAAGAGTTCAGAAATGATAACAGCTTCTTTCCTCATACAGCCAAACTGTGGAATGCTTTGCTTTCTTCTGTTCCATACTCTTACAATATGTCTCAACTTGCGTTTTTTCTAAAAACCAGTTTTTGTGATATGGTCCAGAATCTGACGCAGCTTTAACCTAGGTATGTTAATGCCTAGCAATAACTTGCCAGGCCAACATACAGGCAATTAAAACATCTAATAATTACTTAATAAGAAATATTAGGAGGACACGTCGTTACCTTGCATTTAATTGCAATTGTTTTCAGCATCATTTTTTTTTTTTTTTTTTTTTAACGAATTAGTC